AATATTTTCCCCGGGAGTTGATATTACACATTGCCGATATGAAAACGCAGCTTGTCTTTTAGAAGATGATTCATTGATTATTTGGGAAGCAGAAAATAAAGAAAAAAACGAAAAAATGTGTAAATTTTCAAGAGTTAGGAAATGGAAAGGCACTTGGATGGGTAGAATTTGGTTAGCTGATAATAAAGAGATAGGAATTTCATTTACAAATAACCCCACAAAAATAATAGATTGTAATAAAGAATTAATCATAAGCGAGCAAGGTTACGCAGTACCAGCACAGCAATACCAAATATTGAGCTTAAAAGAAAAAATAAGGAGAAAACGAGAAAATAAAAACACAAGAAGCGGATTAATTTTGAGTAACCAATTAGCCGCAGAACTAACAGCCACCGAAATACTCTCTACAGAGAAAGTTAAAAAAGTATTCAACCATTTGACTAGTATCCTTTGTGCCAAAGATATTAACGGAGAACACCAAAACAAATTAATAAGCGGAACCGACAGCAACATTGTAGCTAAGTTAATCATGAATACACCATATGTCTTAGGTAAATGGATATCCAATGAAATATTAGAGACAAGAACATGCTTTCCAATACCTTATGAGAACATCACATTTCTACCGAATGAAAAATGCTACAAAGAGATCCCAATAAATGTCACTTTAAAAGAAAAAATAATAAAAGCATTTCTTGAACCAAAAACATTAACTATAGTAGAAAAGGCAAGCGAAACACCTTGTTCATATGAGAGATTCATAACTATATTTATCGGGAAAAAATTGTTGAGAATTGATCAAAAGACGGGAAAAAGTAAAGAAATAAATGAAAAACAAATACATGAATTAACACTCGACCTACAAAAGCCAATACACCTCCCTCAAATTGAAACACACGCATTCCACAACTTAATTATAAAGAACTATAGTGACCCTAGAATTGAAATTCTCCAAATGTTCCAAACCTATGGAATAGACAAAAAATTTGAACAAGAAAAAATTGAAAATGCAATAAAAAATGGAGAATACGTACACACCGAAGAATCAGTTAAAAATCCATTAACAAGCATTCTTGAAAAAATTTGGGAAATTAATCTTGAAAAATTGTGGATTAGAATGGTAGCACTGTATATAACATACATCTGGCTATTCGACAATATTCTCCCTTTTCTACTTAAATACATAAAAAATACTAGAATCGGAAGATTCTTGGCACAGGTATTAACAATAATAGTAAAAACACCCGAATCAGAAAAAACAGAAGAAATAATCATGAACACAATAATGAGGAAAATTAAGGATGAGAAGAAAGACGAAGAAGAAAGAAACGAAGAAATACGTCTTCGCGCGGCCGCCAGTGTCGTGTAAGGAACACGAAATTATAATTATTTAATAAATTTAAATATTTCCTCCTATTTTTCCCTTTATTTCACCTGTCCGCGACAGGCAATTTCATAAATTATTTTCCCATAAACATCCACTTTGACCCCTTCTTCTCTCTTCTTTTTCCGGAAACTATTGTCTTTTCACCCCTAGTTAATACTATTTTCCATATCACTTCTCTATTCACTATTGTTTAAATCTCTGCCTATTGTCCATTATATCCCCTATATAAACAATAGGCAGATCTTCCCTATCATCTTCAGTTTCAATTTTCCATTAATTCTTTATAAAAATATTTAATTGTATTTTTAATTTTAAAGATAAATATTTTATTTAAATTCACTTTATTCAATAACTCTTGGGACCTAGCTTCCCCAAAAAATTTATTTGTCAAAGTAAGCTTTTAGTTGACAATTCCACATTGTTAAAATAACATGCCCGTGGTTGAAACAAACTTCTCTGTCATTGGAACAACGTTCAACACTGCTTGAACAACCCTCCAGATTGATGGAACAACCTTCCCTAATATTGAAAAAACTTTCCCGCCGTTGGATAAACTCCTTATTTTGGAAAATAAATAGAACTAACATGATCCCTCCGCAAAATTTATGCACAATAAAAGGGAAACAAAAAATAGTTGTGGGTCTTTTGTCTGTGGGTATTCTGTACTTGTGGGTCTTCTGTCTGTGGGTCTTTTGTCTGTGGGTCTTCTGTCCTTGGGTCTTCTGTCTGTGGGTCTTCTGCGTCGACACGTCTAGCCCCCCCCCCCCCCAGCCCCCCTGGATACGCCCTTGCTGTTTAGGGTATAAAAAGGTTATCATAGGGTCAGCAACATTCGTTCAGTTTTAATCTTTCGAGAACCTTTCGACTTTCGAGTCTAGCGAGCTGACAACCCTAATTAAAACTCATTAGAATTTTTTGATACTGTTCTTGTCAGAATATCTTTAGCTTTCTATAACTAATTAAAAAAAATTTTTAACAAATTTTTTTAGAAGAAAAATCAAAAACAGCTACTTATCAAGTTGAAAATTTTGCTTCTCATCACCAACACCTATTTACATCATCTTACATTAATAATCGTCAGAAAAATGGACGGAAGAATTTGAGAAACAATAAAATTATTCAACAACCAGATGATCGTCCATCTTCGTCATCGTCTTCATCTTCCTCCATTTCTTCTTTAATTTCAAATCCCCATGGACATGTTAATTTGGGAATGGATGAAAATGATGTTGGGGAAGAGGATGAGGTTTATTCTTAAGATTTTTAATGGAAGGAAAACAAATCAAGTGCGTAGCTAGGGGTTTAGTTTCAGGGGGGCTAAAATTGGGTGTGCCCCAAAATTTTGGCGTTTACTTTTTTTTGAACCAATCCCCTTCTCAAATTTATCTTTTTCTCCCCATTTCGGGGAGAGGGGCTTTAGCGCCTGAAGCCCCCCTGGCTACGCTTTTGAAACAAAATTTTTATTTTTAAAGGTTTTTGGTGATGACTGGAATCAACAAATTTCTTATCAAAGTGAAAAAACTTTGGTTGCGTCACAGGGAGATGCTAGTGTAAGAATTATTGATTTGACTTTTCAGGTTAATTTTTGTTAAAAATTTCTTTAGAATTTTTGGTGCATTTTTTTAATCCTTTGGAATCCGTGGCTTGTCCAAAAACAGATGTGAATTTTGATATCAATATCTGAGATGAGTCCCATTTCCCAGTTCTTTTCCTTGGCATGTTGACTGGGAAACTGGACTGATCTCAAATATTTAATATCAAAAATCGGCTGAATTTACTCGATCATTCTTATACATGGGGCTGGCGGTTCTTGTGAAATATTTGGATATCCGGATCCACCAATGGCGTATCCAGGGGTCTAGAGCCCTCCTCCCGAAATAAAGGAAAATAGGAGAAAATTAGGTGAAGGATGATCAAAAAAGTGAATTTTTTCGACTACAACCTCCTTAATTCCCCAGGATACGCTCTTGGAATCCACTGCCCTCTGATGCCAGAAACCGAACCGAGGAACCGGGCCGAAAAGTCACCATTTTGGCCTTTAACCCTAGTTTACACTTTAAAATCTCTATAAAATATAATTTTTTAAAGGAAAATAATGATGGTAATAATATTTTTGAACAATCTTCAATTCAAATTTCTTCTTCACCATTACAACCAAACTCTCCCCAAAATATTCCAAAAAATTCTTCAAACCAAAAACAACTTCAATCACAACGTTCACATTCTTCATTAAGTAGCGCACCAAAATCTCCTTCTTTAATTACTCGAACTCCAACAACAAAAAAAGCTTCAAAAATTTTGGCTAGAATAGATGAATCATTAAAATTAAAATGGAATAGATTACGTTCAAAATCGGCATCTTTATTAAATTTTCAACAACAATCTTCTAATTATTATTATGGTTTTTTTTAAATTTATTTTTTTGGGGGGGGGGGGGATTCTTTAATGTTTAAAAATAACCGTGATTTTTCAAGGTTTCAACGTTCTAAAATTTTTATGAAGGTCTAAAATAGAAACCGAACTGGGAGAGTTATATATATAAATCGGGATTGATAATTTCTTTGGCCTATGGCCTAAAATTTTAAAAATTCTTGCTTGCGGCGCTGAAAAAATAAAAAAATAATTCAAAAAAACTTGCTTAAGGAACGCCAGAGTAAACGACAAAATTTTGGCGCACACCCCATGTTAGCCCCCCCCCCCCCCCGAAATCGACCCCCTGTTGGCTACGCCCTTGCCGGCCCTGTTTCTAGTCAAAAATGTATTACTCTGTTTGACCATTTGAAAAAATTTGGAAATGTTTATGGTTAAAAGAATGTCAAAATATATTTAATAATTTATTGAATAAGCTAATATTTTTAGATACAAAGAAAGCTCCAGCATCTAATAGAAATAGATCGGTTCTGGAATAAGTAATTTTCTTCGATTTTATACTTTTCTATTAATTAGTAAAATTGTGTTGGCCAGGGTTACGGAAGTTTTGGCGCGAGAACAAAAAAGTGGCACTTAAGCGGGACCAAATTTCATAAAAATTTTCTCAAATTTCTTTAACATCCTTGACTACCTCCTCAAGAAATTTCAGAAATTTTCATCAAATATTTCTAAATTTATAGATAGATAGACCTCGAAAAATTAGGTATTTTCCAGAAAATCAACATTTTTGGCCATAATTTCTAAAATTCTTGCTCAAAAATCCTAAATTTTTGGAGAACTTAGATAAAGGTAGAGAGTTATTGCAAAATTTTTATCATTTTTGATAACCAACTCGCTATCTTATAAGCTCGCGCCAAAACGGCCCCGCGCCAAATTTAACTTATTTGAAAAAAATTATGGATATGTGATTTTATTAATGCATATAGTAGACTAGACTTTGTTATAATTAAAGCCAGGCTCGCTTCGTTTTTCTCTCGTCTTTTGAATTTAACCAGAAGTTTATGTATTTATCGACACTTACGGGTGGGCTTTAATTATTTACTGAAATTGACTGAAATTTGTTTAACCATAGTATAAAAAAATTTCTAATTTTTGAGAATTTTTATTTATTTAGAACAATTATAATGCCAAAGTGTTTACTTAACGCCAATAATTAATAAATTTAAAGTAAATTTAAAGTAAATTAGATCCAGTAAATTTGTATAATCTTCCTCAAAAAATGACTACAATACGTCCATTTGAACCAAGCGATTTATTCAGATTTAATAATGTCAATCTCGATCCGCTTACAGAAACGGTATTATTTTAAATTAAATTTTAAAAATTAAATTTTCATTTTTTAAAGTATGGGTTGCCTTTCTACATGCAATATTTAATCAATTGGCCCGAATATTTTCATGTTGCAGAACACCCAACTGGTCAAATTATGGGATATAGTTAGCGGCCTTGTCTTATCGTTTGTTAAATTTTTTAAATTTTTTTTCAAGTTATGGGAAAAGCAGAAGGCAGAGGACAAGAATGGCATGGGCATGTTACAGGTTTTCTTTCTTCCTGAGTTAAATAAATAATTATAATTTCTAAGCCGTGACGGTCGCATCAGATTTTCGAAGGATGGGATTGGCAGCTAAATTTATGAAATTATTAGAGGAAATTTCTGAAGAGTTTGTTTCATTTAAATTTTAAAAATATTAAGAAGCATGGGTATTTTAGGGGTTCTTGGTTTCGAAATTTTAGGGAAATCTTCCAGAGACGATTTTTGTCCTCCTATCCTTTTTCCCTGACATAGGAAAAAAATTTACTATTAGTATTTCCAATGTGATCACCAAGGATTATGCGACACAAAAGTCCATTTCTGAGTTTTGGTGATGAGGTTCTGATTTTTGGTACTCACCCCAAAGGGATTGTGTTAAAAACAAATTATCGAATTTGTTAAAGTCAATAACAATTAATAGAGTTGGGAAGAAGGGGGAACAGAAAGGGAAATATCAAAAGTGAACCAATAGAGAGCATGCCGGAATAAAAATAAATCCCTGCTTTTCGGAAATTGAGACGAGGCGATTTATCATTTGTTAAATTAAGTCATCTAACATATAGCCAATATTGATGGAATAGGGGGTGAACAGGCAGGAGTAGAGTACACCAACATAGAGCCTGCCGACATAAAAATAAATTTCACGATTTTTTTGGGACGGTGGGATCCACGGTACGTCACTCCCTTTTTTTACGGGGGTTTTGAAATTTAAAAAAAGTTCAAACACAACAGGACGAATAAAAAAAATTTTTTTTCAGAAAACATTGCTATTTTGTTGATTTGTTTGTACGCGTTTCAAATCGTACAGCAATCAAAATGTATGAGAATTTGGGATATACAGTGTTTAGGCAAATTACTGATTATTATTCGGCTACAGATGATGGAAAAACTGATGAGGATGCATTTGGTATTTTTTTTAATTTTTAAAAAAATAAAAAAAATTTTTAGATATGAGAAAAGCACTTTCTTGGGATGTTGGGAAGAAGTCTGTAATACCCTTAAAAACGCCCGTGCATTTTAGTGAAGTTGAAGAAGCTCATTGAAGTATAATTATTTTAGTGTTAGTTTATTTTTTTCTGAATTATTTTTTTATTTATTTTTCCTTTATTTTTGCTCTATTTTTCCTTTGTTATCTTTTACCCTTAAATTTTTTTTCAGAAAAAAAATAAAAATTTTTTGATTGCCTGTCCTCGTTATACCTCCTAGGAATGGGTCGGGTTACTAGAAACCCGTCATTTTCCACTGAAATGTTTTCCAAAATTGGAGGAAATGTGGCTTATTGACCTTTTAAAAGTCCACAAAACATCTTTGCCTAAACTAAAATTTTTCTAAATTGACTTACAATCCGATCCGAAGAAAATTTTTTGAAAAAAACTTCGACCCACCCCTAGTACTTCATTGCACCTTTAAGGTTAATAGATAACTAGGGGTGGGAGCCCGATCCGGCCCGGTCTGAAAGATCGAGTCGGACTTTGAACTTTGGCCCGAAAAAAGACTAGAAACGTCGACCCAACTCGAAAACCCCAACATAAGAACGTGAAAAAAATTTTTTAAAGAGGATAAATTAAAAATAAAAGTCAATTTTTCCCTGACTATTTTTCAAAAATAGCGAATAAAAATGGCGAATATTACCTTTCATAACAATCAAATTCTTCATCGTCTTCTTCAACAATTTTCAATTTATAGCGTTCAAGTAACCATTCATCAGGTCTTGTAGGTGAACCTGTCATGTAACATTTACCAGATGCTGATTTTGGGAAGGCTATAACATTGCGTATAGAAGCTTTTGAATCTCCTAAAAATTGAATTTCCTTTCTTCCATCTCCCAATTGTATTTTTAAATGAACCTGACAGACCCCTTTCTCCCCAAGTTTCCTATATATCCAGAAAATGGTCAGACTTTTTATTTCCTTCCAACCCTGCCATTCTATATTTTGCCTACAAATAATCAAAAGGAAAATTAATTTTTATTTTCCCTAGGATGAAAGGAAAACTGAAGGAAGAAGTCTGACTATTCTTCAAATATATAGGAAGAAACCTGGGAAGGAAAAAATGGGGTCTGTCAGGTTCAATATCAGCAGTGTGTCGGAACAGTCAGGGTGTCGGAAATCGGAACTGGCTCAAAAGTCGGAACTCGGAAATCAATTTTTTTTTCGGAAATCGGAAAGAAAAAAACGCCGGAAATAGGAATTCTGTCAGGTTTAATATTACCAAAAAATATTTTTTAAAAATTAATTAAACCTCTAGCATTTAATATAGCTATATATCTATCCAATCCTAATGCAAAACCACCTGAAGGAAAAATATTTTTAAGTTCTTTAAAATTAAAAATAAAACCATGTGGAGGAGCTCCATATCGTAAAGCTTCGAGTAAATGTTTCTAAAAAATTTAGATTTTCTTTTAAAGTTAACAAATGCAGACAGACCTCAATATTTCTTAATGACCCCCACTTATTCCCAATACCATCCTTATTGTTAATCCTTCATATCCCTCTGTTAAGGTTAGACCGGGCTGAGAAAAATGTTGCCGGGTCAGTGACTTAAAATAGGGATTATTGTTAAAAAAGACCCCCTCCCCCTACTCCATCAAATTTTGAAAAAATTTTTTTTAATTACCAAAGGTTCAGAATCAATTTTAAGTGTTTTCAAAACATATTCTTGGAGTTCCGCATTATGAATTCGTATTGACCCTCCACCAATTTCTTCTCCATTAAGTACAAGATCATAATGTTGAGCTATATATAAAAATTTTGAAAATTTCGGGCAAAATCCGCAATTTTTTCTAAAATCCGTAAATTTAGTCCGCAAATGTTAGTGCAGTCTAAACTCCATATAAGATACATCCAAAACTAGGTACTCCCTAATTTAACGCCAAATTTCCTAAACAGCCAAACTTTGGGGGGTCTCCTCCTAAAATCCACCTCATTGTCTAAAAGACTTTTTCGTTCGCCTATACCGATTAAAAAACTCTTTTTTTTAACAATTCATTTTCACAAACCTTCAATTTTATCCAAGTTTATTCCATTTTTCAAATCTTTCTCATGTTCAGGTATTGGAGCCTAAAAATTAAAATTAAAAAAAAATTTTTTTTTCGAAAATTTTTTTTTCAAAATTTTGCAGAAAAAATGAAAAATTGCGGACAAAGTTTTCGAAAAAATTTTTCAAAAAATTTTCAAAAAATTTCAAAAAAAAACCGTGAAAGGATGATGTGCACTTTCTATCTTCCCACTTTCCTCATTTTTTACAAATAAAGGAAATCGTTGAATCCAAACAAAATTGAATTGATTAGGTTGAAAATAATCAAAAATTGATTCAGCCAAATAATTGCGTAAATAACCTTTAAAAATTTTTTTCCTTTAAATAAATTTAAAAAGATACCTAGAACTTTTAAAATATGTTCTTCACAATCGCCCCAACTAAAAAATAAAAATTGAAAATATTTTTTTAAACAAATTTATAAAAAATTAAAAATTGCGGACAAAAAATTTTGTCCGCAAAATTTTTGCGGACAGAAAAATTTTCTCGAATTTTTAAAATTTTTTTGTAAAAATTTTCCAAAAAGTTTTTCAAAAATTTTTTTTAATTAAAAATATTTTTTTAAAACAAATTTATAAAAAATTAAAAATTGCGGACAAAAAAATTCTTGTCCGCAAAAATTTTGCGGACAAAAATTTTTTTGTCCGCAATTTTTAAAATTTTTTTCCGCAAAATTTGCCTCAATAGTTTGCCAAAAAAATTTTTTTAATCGAAAAAATTACCAAATAACAATAACATCATCATCCTTGTCCAAATTTAAATTTAATAGATGGTCCTTATTTATTGGGATTTTGTTAAATTTGTTGATTGACGATGGGCGAATAATTGAATAATCCTTTGAAAGAATTTAAAAAGATACTTTCTTTAGATTAAAAATTTAAATTAGTTTTTTAAAAATTTACAAAAAAAAAATTTGGGAAAAAATTAAAAAATTGCGGATTGTCCGCAAAAATTTTGCGGACAAAAATTAGTCCGCAAAATTTTTGCGGACTAATTTTTTATATTTTTAAAATTAAATTTCAAACTTTTTTAAAAGACAACATATCAATTTTCTGTTCCCAGCGTATCATCCTTCCTTTAGTTAAATATTTTTGAGCGCCTTTTGCAACAAACATTTTTGCTTTAATTAAATTATCTTCTAATAAACAATCAGTAATTTCCCAAGGTATTCTTGTATCCTTTAGAAAAAAATTTTTTTTCAAAAAAAAAATTAACCGGTTTGTCTGTTCCAAATTTTGACAACTAAAAAAAAATTTTTTTTAATTTTTTTAAAAAATATTTTAAAGTCCGCAAGAATTGTCCGCAATTTTTTCAAATTCAAGTAAAAGATTATTAAGCAAGCCACAGCGACAGGTGGCGATCCTACAACAGTTATCTCCTGACAATTATTGCTGCTAGACATTTTCGCTTACCACGTTAAGTTAGGGGATGAAATAAGGTAGGGGAAGGGTTGGGGGTTACTCTCTAAACCCGCCTAGAGAAAATCGACACAATTAAAGAAAATTTTTTGCAACCCTGACACTTAACCATTTTTCTCAGCCCCCCCCCCCTATCCACAAGTTTATAAAAATTTTTAAAATAAAAAATTAGAAAAAATAAAAAAAATTTGCGGATTGTCCGCAAATTTTTTTGCGGACAAAAAAATTTTAAAATAAAAAAATGATTTTTAAAATAAAAATTTTTCTAACCGCTGCAGAATAATCCATTCGAGGGAAAGGAACGGTTGGTTTATATTGTTCCTGAAAAAATAAAAAAATTTTCAAAAAAAAAATTTTTTACAAAAAAACCAATTCTTTAGGCCACGAATTAATCAAAATTTGTTCAATTAAACAAATAATTTTTTCTTGATTAGTAAAAGACAATTCCAAGTCCAATTGTGTAAATTCTGGCTGTCTGTTAGGTTTGGTAGGTTCGTCTCTATAACAAATTGCTACCTTTTTAAAAAAAAAATTTTTTTTAATGTCAAGAATTTAAAAAATAAAATTTAAAAATAAATTAATTCTAAAAATAAGGACAAAATTTTTTTTGGTCAAAAAATTAAAAAAACGGTCAAAATTCATTTTTCTTTGCCAAAAGGGAACACGGACCGAATTCAAAGAGTAAAAAAAATTTTTTTTAAAGGGGGGGGGGGGGGAACGTGACAAGGGATAAACAGAAACTTGTAGTTTTTCTCCAAGTTTTTGGTCAACATGAAAAGGAGAGACACATTCTTATTCCAAAATAAAATTTATTTTTTTAAGCAAAAAAAATTCAAGGAAAAATTTAAAAATAAGGACAGAAATTTTTCGTTCAAAAATGGAGGTCAAAATTAATTTTTTTTTATCAAAGGGAACTTTGGTTCACAATTCTCATTCTATTTCTCAACCAAAAAAATTTAAAAAAAACCTGATAATATTTGTCAATTCCTCCACACATTAACAATTGTTTGTAAATCTGAGGGCTCTAAAAAATTTTCTTTTAATAAAAAATTAAATTTAAAAAAACCTGTGGAAGACTAAAACATTCGCCTGAATCATTAGCAGGCACAGGAAATTCATTTGCACCACCAGGCGTAAAATGGCTTAGGGTTGGGGTCTAAAAATTAACTTTTATTTAAAAAATATTCTAAAAAAATTTTTTTATAAAAATTTTAAAAATTTCGAAAAATTTCGAAAAATTCTGAAAAACTTAAAAAAAAATTTTTTTGAAAATTTTTTTAATTTTTTTTAAATTTTAAAGGACTCCAAAATTTTTTTAAAAATAATTTAAAATTTTTTCAAAAATTTTTAATTTTTTTTAACAAAAAAAAACCTGAATATCAACAAAAGAGCATTCATCTTCCAAAAATCTACGCATTTTACTTATAATTTGAGCCCGAAATCTAAAAAAAAAATTTTAAAAATTTTTAAAAAATTCTACTTTTAAAAACCTCAAGGCATGCTGCATTTTTTCCGAGCGTAAATCGAGATAGCGATGAGTCAAACTGAAAAAATATAATCATTTTTATGAGTAAATCTGAGCCTAGCATCCTACCCCCCCCCCCCCATTTTCCTTCCTCAATAAGTTCATAATGGTCAAACGGTAATATTGAAGAGCACAGACCCCATTTTTTTTCTCCCTATTTTTCCCCCTATATTTTTACAAAATGGTCAGCCTTTTTCCTTCCTTCCATTCAATTTGCCTTTCTAATTTTTGCCTAAATCAAACAAAAAGGATTATTTTTGATATTTTATTTCCCGTTTTAATAGAGAAAATGAGCCTTCTCAAAACTCATAATTGTTAAATACCAAAAAATAATCCTTTTTGTTTGATTTAGGCAAAAATTAGGAAGGCATATTGTATGGAAGGAATGAAAAAGGCTGACCATTTTGTAAAAATATAGGGGGAAAAATAGGGAGAAAAAAATGGGGTCTGTACTCTTCAATATTACCGGTCAAACTTATTTCCTGTCTGTAAGCTCGAAAACAGTAGGTTGTTGGATACTTGGAAATTGTAAAATATCCGGATCCGGTACCCGCGCCTAAAATTTCCGAAGATTCAATCTTTTTTCGGATTCGGACCCTGACAACCTTATTAACCAAGGGGAATGCCCCCCTCTTCCCAAAATGGGGAAAAGAAAACGAAAAAAATAATTTCGGTAGGGGAGTGAGTTAAAAAAGTGAATTTTTGTTTGGCCCACGACCTTCCAAGATTCTCAAAAAATATTTTAATTTTTTGTCAAAAAAAGTCAATTCTTTGACTTAATCGTGGACCACCAAACCAAAAAAAAAATTTAAAATTACCGTGTTAATTCAGTTGAAGAATTAAACACTGGCAAAGCATTAGGAATTGAATTAAAAACTTCTAAAATTCAGAAAGATTGAGTAACCAAAAATTTATCGACAACCTATCTTTTCAGCATCAATCTAAAAATAAAAAAATCTAATTTGAATATTTTTTAAAAGAGTTATTGTTAGGCATTAGGGTTGCAGAGCCGGGCCCTAAAAAAGTCTAAATGTCCAAAAATTTTGGTAGGGTAAAGTTACCAGGATTTGCTCAACCTTACAATTAGTAGGCGAATTCTCTCAACACGTACTACTAAACCAGGGGCTTTTGGCCTCTCTTTCTAATCTAGAGAGAGAGATTGGAAAATTAACTCAAATCATTAACGCTACCTTCCCCTCTAATCTACTTATTGTAGTTCTTAAATTTTTGCCTATTAAGCATTTTCTTAAATTGAATCCCCCGCCACTTGAATCCCCCTCTTCCTTATATCAAAAAATTTTTTGCTTCTTTTACTCCCGGAAATCTAGAAATTTTTTAGAGACTTTCCAAAGCCTTATAGGACTACCCGGAGCCAAAAGGACCTTATATTTTTCCATAAGCCCCAAAATAAATTCCCAAAAAATTTAAAAATTCCAAAAAACCTCAATCTGCCCAGTAGGTATTTTATTATTTCTGTCCTTCCCTCTATCCATAACTGTCCCTTCCACACAAACAGAAGACTGCTCTTTTAAAGATTTAATTAAATCCTTCATTTGGTCTGAAGCCAAAGCTTGAACACTTCCATAGGCGTCCTTGATCAATAAAAATTCTGAAAAAAAATTTTTAAAAAATTAAAAAAGAAAACAAAACTGTCCATCCTTTTAGTCTCTAGCCATCCATAAATTTTGACTCGTTGTCCTAAATTTTTAAAAATTAAAAAAAAATTTTTTTTTGAAAAAATAATTTTCTTAAATTAAATTTTGATTTTTAAAATTGAATTTAAAAATAGGCAGAAAATTCAAAAATTTAAAAAAATTTTCAAAATTTTTTAAAATTTTTCTAAAAAATTTTTTTTAATAAATTTTTCAAAAAAATTTTTTTTCAAAAATTTTTTTCAAAAAAATTATAAAATTTTTTTTTTGAAAAATTCTCTGAAAATTTTTTTCAAAAACATTTTTCAAAAAAATTTTCTCTCATAAAAAATTTACAAAATTTTTTCAAATAAATTAACAAACAAACTAACCAACATGTTCAAGTCGAAGTTCCCCACAATTATGAGTTCTCAAAGTAAAACTATTGATAGAACTTGAACTTGCATTTCTGACAAATATTTTTGGAAGTTTATTTAAAAATACTAAAGCCATTTAAAATCTGAAAATTCGTTAAAAAAATAAAATTTTATATCCAGGCCTAGGCATTTTCGACCTTCCTGGGGGTTTCCTGAGCCTTGGTTTTTCTTCTACTACAGGCACAGGATCCGGCCCATGTCCATAAATCAAGCCCCAGAGTCCAGGAACAGGTCCAGGCTTTCCAGGGGACACGCCCAAGTAGGCGCGCGGCCAAGTAGGCGCAAAGCCATAACTACCTGGAAACTTTCTGGACCTTGATAATTTTGGTACCATTCTCTTTATCTCGATAAGAGGAATCGTTTAACACTAAATTGATAAGATTTGGAAATCAAGAAGCAAGTTATGTCTTTGCGCCTATTTGGCCGCGCGCCTAGTTGGGCTGTACCCGCTTTCCAGAAATCTCAATTACTAATACCTCAAATCACCACGGACAAGGACCAAGGAACCATTATAAAGTATTGCAAGAACTTTTAAGATTTCTCTAAAAATATACCCTAAACCCATTTAAAACCAACAGGTATATAATTTGAAAAAATTCAGATAATTAATGTAAAAAATATATACAACAATTAATCTTCAAAAATAGAATACAAAAAAATATTTTTCAGTATATAGAATAATTCATTGCTGGCTCCGGAACCGGCCTTAGCTAGAGCTAAAATCTTAAAATGTTAGGAACAGGAACTAAAAACCCTCTGACAACTGAGTAGATGATGAGCTTTAAAAAAAAAGTTCAAGCTGGATCCAGAGCCCAGGCCGAATTCAGAGCCACAAAATAGCCAATACCCAGCCTAATATTAGAGGTCGGCACGGGAAGGATCTCGCACGGGATTTTACGGGATCCTGTACCGAAATCCCGCATTTTAAGCGACAAACGGGCTTTACGGGATTAATCCCGCGGGATCCTGTCCCGCAAAAATTTTTGAAAAAAAATCACGTTACGGGATCCTGTGAATGCGATTTTTCCGACCTCTACTTAATATATATAATTTCAATTTGAGGGTACAATTTTATTTTTGTTACTATTAAAAATATCAATTGGAGTTAATTTTAAATTATTTGTAGTTGTGCCATTCTCTACTGCTAATTTTGTTTGTGATTTACTTGCTGCTTTTGCTGCTGCTTCAGCTTTACCCTTCTCTTCCTTTCCTCTATCCTTGTGTTGTTTGACTAAAGTTTTGACATCACGACGATGTAAAATTGAATCTTTAGTTAATGCTTCTATTGCAGCTTTAGGAAAAGAATTTTTTTTTGGAAAAATCGAAGGGGAAAAATTTTTTACCAGTAGCAACAGCTTCACTCCTCCTTTGTTGCAAAGCTTCTCGATATTGCACTTTAATAAAAATTTTTTATTTTAAAGTTGAATTTTTGAAATAGAAAAAAAAAGAAAATCGGAAACGGATAGGAAAGGGGAAACAAGAATAGAGGATTGAACAGGGTGTACCTACCCCAACCCTTCCCTGTCCAATTTTTGTTTTAAAAGTATAAATGGACCACGAAAATTTGAGGAAAGCGGAAACCAAAAAGTATAGCCCCCAACTATCGTAACTCGAAACAGGGCTGTGCGCCTGGCATTCAGCATTGCGTTTTGGCGTTCATTTATGGCCGATTTTGGTGTTATGGCGTTTGCCGTGTTTTAGGAATTTGAAAAATTGGAAAATTTGGCGCACAGCCCTGCTCTGAAAGCAAAATTCGACTCTTACAATTAATTAAAGATAAAAAAATTTTTTTTTACTTGCGTGTATAGTTAACAGACCACCCCAAGCAATAGACCAAAACCAGCCAACAAACATAAAGGTAATGGTAAAAAATTGGCTTTAAAAAATAAAAAATTGAAGGAAATTTAAGAAAACCCCTAACCTTATCCCAACAACAAAATTAACAAAAAGTGTAACCAATTTCCTTCCTTCTTTAATATTAACACGAGGTTGCCCCATACAAAGAGCTGCAAAACCGCTAAAAATAGTTCCGGAACCAGGCAATACAACATTCATAAAAAGGCAAGTTAAAGCGACAGGTAAAGGTAAAAATGGAATGGCTTCATGCATTACTATTGAAAAAAATTGGAAAAAAAATTTAAAAAGAAGGGAGGGAGACGCCTTGTTTTCTGTTATTTTTTGCTATAAATCAACTGGAGGGTTGTTAACTTGTTGGAAAATATATGTGGATTCCAGCAAGGGTGTAGCCAGTTTTTAACCTTGTCAGAGTATGAGTCAAAGGATACCAGAAGCAACACGAGGTGACTTTCTCCTATTGAATCTATGACTTGAGGTCGATCGAAAATGACGAAGGTGTCGGAAATCGGAACTGTCGGAAATCGGAACTGTCGGAAATCGGAAATGAGTCAAAAGTCGGAACTCGGAAATCAGCCTAAATTTTCGGAAATCGGAAGATTGCTTATAAACCCAGGCATGAACAAAAAGCCCAAAAATTAAAACCAACATGTAAGGTCGTTAGTAGGTAAATGTACTTTATCCCCATTTCTATTGTCTTTACTAGCTTGATGATGGGCAGCGTCATGTGCTGCGAGAACAATACCGGGCATAGAAGCGGTAGCCTTTAAAGTATTTTTTTCAGTTTAGTCTTAAATACAAAAAACCTGTAGTATTCCCTCACTACGCCCATATTCAATAATACGGGGTAATGATTTGTGCACAACTTTCCAACCTTTGATTTTTTCAACTGAAAAAAAGGGGGAAAATTATTAATGCCGTTTTTCTTGACTCAACTACTAGCTGGGAAACAAGCCCGTAACCAGGGGGGGCCGGAATTGAAATTGAAATATATAATTGAAATATGTTTGAGATTCACCAACTACGAGTGAAATTTTTTATAAATTATTTTCCAACAAATGAAAATGTACATGCTATCATTTAGAAAATTCGTTTTTCATTGGTCCTTCGATTAGTTTCATAATTGGCCCTAACATTAGCCCACCCTATCTTTTAGCTTTCCTAACTAGGGTTATCGGTTCTGGACCGATAACCGAGCTTAAGAATCGAGGGTTTTTCGGTTCGGTTCTTCTGATCGATTTCAGGTATCCAAAGAAATTTCCAGGAACCGACAACTCTTTTCCTGACATCGAAAATCAAAAATAAAAAAATAGACAAGCCTCCAATCACACTGCTAACACCTGCAGTAACTGTTCTTAACGACATTGTTGAATATTACAATTAATAGTTGAATTTAAAAAACTTTTCAAGTAAAAACAAATGGAATGTTAAAGCATCAATCGAATAAACCTTAAAAAACGTGTAAAATATTCCCTCAATTTTCTCCCAAAAATCCGTTTTTTACCTCAAAATTATTCATTTCCTTCCCCCAAAAGTAGTAAGCATTTCCCTTTTAATGCCATTCCTTCAGGTGGGAGACAAAAATTATTTTTATTATAATGTGGGCACTCTGCTGGCACATTCAATTGTGCATTGCTTTCAAGTAATGCTTGAAAAGACCAAATTGCTGGATGGCTTAAGAATAAGAAAAAATAAGTAAAAAAATGGATAGAAAATGTAAAATAAGCAAATAAATCGAATTTTTTTGGCAACCAAAAAATATTTTGACCCTATATGAAAACAAGGAATCATGAAATTGGTGGGGTATCGGGCATATCAGGGGATTTGGGTACTACTAAAATACAAATACTATCTACTTAAAATACAAATTTTTTAAAATTTGCTAGCAAATTTTTTCTGAAGTTATGGTTCCGGCCGGAGGTTTCTCGTTCAGATCAAAAGGATTGAAATGCCGACATACTCCCTAAGTATCAGCACAAAATAGTTATCATAAAAATTAAAGGGATTAAAAAATATATGTGGACTAGAGGGATTAAGTGCGTTTGGTAGGGACTAAAGCGGATTAAGGGAATATAGTTTCCAAATTTTCCAGAATTTTCGCCTGCGGCGCTGAAAAAGAAGAAATCTGGTGACTTGGGCTTTCCATACTTCTTCCTTGCGAAAAGTGTTAAGATCTTTGTTGTTGGTATAAGGTTTATCACATATATATTTTATGTTGTATATTTAATCAGGAATGCTCAAAATTTTATACAAATTTGTCTTAGGGGTTACAATTCTTTAATCTACTCCGAATATTTTAACATCATTTCTTTCTTCAAATTTATTTCTTTTTAACAAACATTCTCATCTATGTCCTCAGGTTTCTCGTTCAGATCAAAAGGATGCTCATTTAAATCTATCTGATTCATGCAATTCTCGAGAATCTTATTTGGCTCTTCTACTACTTGTTGATTTTGCTTATCCACATAATTTCCAGTTTCGTCTTTGTTACATTCTTCCTCTTCCTGATTAGAAAGATTTTCTTCTTCAGACTGAATGCCCTCTTCGTAAACGATTGGCAATTTACCTTTATTTCTTAAATCCTCATTCTGTGGATTAGAAGTTACTCCTTCATTATTATCAGAATGAACAATTATTTTAGGTTCTTGTAACTTTGTTTTTATATTTTTCCTAATTTCTCGGTATTTTCGATCATATTCTCGCTTCTTCTCCTTATTATTTTGGTAGTATTTACGCACACTTTCTCTCTTTTTTTCTTTAGTTTTTTGGTAGTAATTTCGTTCCCTTTCTCGCCTCTTTTCCTTATTATTTTCTAGATATTTTTTATGACATTCTCGCACCTTTTCCTTGTTGTTTTCTTGATATTTTCGGCAATATTCTTTCAACCTTTCTTTATTCTTTTGGTAGTAAATTCGATTAATTTCTCTTATCTTTTCTTTGTTATTTTGGTAGTAAATTTGCCTACTTTCTCTTATCTTTTCTTTGTTATCTATAGTTGTTCTGTCTTTTTTTGAGATTTTAGGTTTTGGTTTTAACATTTTTTCATCTTTTTGAATTAGAGGATTAACCGATGCTTCAGTTCCATCGTTATCCTTTGAGGTTTCCCCAACTCTAGTTAACTCATTTTTGTCCTTATTATTTTTAACAGAATTAATTAAACTCCAAAATATCGCATTGACGATTAAAATTATTAATATACTATCAAGTTTCATTATAAATTATTTTAAAAATTTATTTAAAATATTAACTCTTTTCAATTAATTAATCAAGAGTATTAAATTCGACTGTTAATATTAACTTAAGTAATAGTAAAAATGAACTTTTGTTTATAATATTTTTTATTTAATATTTCATAATAAAATAGAGGTTTTCTCAGTGAAAGTGCATTATGATAAAATTTTCGGATGTACTTCCGGTCGTCAATACCAGGGCTGGTCAACTGGTGTTGACGACCGAAATTGCATCCTAAAATTTTAAAACAATGAACTTTCGCTGAGAAAGCGTGTATTTTATTATGAAATATTAAATAAAAAATATAATTACATAAAAGTTCATTTTTACTATTACTTAAGTTTAATATTATATTCAAATTAATTAATAATCAAATTAATTAATTGAAAGGAGTTAATATTTTAAATAAATTATAAAAATTAATTTATGATGAAACTTGATCTTATTTTAATTATTTTAATCGTAAATGCGATATTTTGGAGTTTAATTAATTCTGCTAAAAATAATAAAGATCGACGCGAGTCAACTAGAGTTGGGGAAACCTCAAAGGACATCGATGGGGCTGAATCATCGGTTAATCCTCAAATTAAAATGTTAAAACCAAAACCTAAAATTATAAAAAAGGGCACAACTAAAGATAATCAAGAAGAAAAAAAGTTGAATAGAAAGGAAAATGCGAGAATTTATTATCAAAACAATAAGGAAAAAAAGATAAAATCTGTCCAAAATTATTACCAAAATAATAAGGAAAAGAAGAAAGAATATAATCAAAAATACCGAGAAAATAATAAAGAAAAGATGAAAGAATCTGATCGAAAATACCGACTAAATAATAAAAACAAGAAGCGGGAATATGATCGAAAATATCGAGAAAAAAGAAAAAATGAAAAACCAAATTTACAAGATCCAAAAGTACTAGGAAATGTTCATTCTGACAATAATAATGGAGAAGGAACTTCTAATCCACAGAATGATAATTTTAGAAATAAAGGTAAATTGTCAATAGTTTACGAAGAGAGCATTCGGTCTGAAGAAGGAAATCTTTCTAATCAAGAGGAGGAAGAATGTAACAAAGACGAAACTGAAAATTATGTGTATGAGCAAAATCAACAAATGGTAGAAGAGCCAAACAAAATTCATGAGAATTGCATGAATCAGATAAATTTGAATGAGTATCCTTTTGATCTGAACGAGAAACCTGAGGACGAAAATGGAGATGTTTGTTAGAATAGAAGAACAACCCCTAACATGTCTTTTTTTAAATCAAACTTTCCTGTGCACACAATTTAATTTAACTGTTTATTAAAATGTTTAATAAAGCACATTATTTAATATAACACACAATTTAATATAAATATACACAATTAATATACTCTTCGTGTTTAAATCTAGGGTGTGGTATTGAATGGTTGTCCCTACATCTGGAGGAGCTATATGGATTTAACTATTTCATGGGAATATATTCCTTTGACCCATGTGTACTTTTATGGAAGAAAAAGAAAATCGGGGCGGATAAACGCATAGACTTAAATTTTGTCAAATATTTGTTTGGTCTGACAAATCATTACAGATCCTGGCATTTTAAGTTTAAAGCGACATGAATCAGATAGATTTAAATGAATATCCTTTTGATCTGAACGAGAGTAATATTTCATTTACTTGTTTGAGATATGTGGTATACGTGAAACTTAAATATTTGTTAATTGCTGACTTTAATTTTATTTGAAAAATTTATTTCTGTTGTATTTTTCATGTCAATTTTTAATGCTTCTAACAATCAAATCGACTTGTCGAATGCACTTTTGAATCGTCTGTTGATTTTTCTCTAATTAAGAAATGGAATCTACGCAAGTGCAATTTTGTAATGCACCTCAGTCTCAATGAGAAAAGTAATGAAATAAAATGAAATAATATTACACAATGTATTTTCCCTTTATATTGCTTGCTTAGTCAATATTACATTTAAATTTAACATTTTTTTATTAATTAGAAGTAAATAAGTTAATAAGCTACATCAAAATTTGAAATTTTTAGTTAATAAAAAATATTTTAAATGAAATTTTTTAATTTAGGATGAAACTTGATCTTATTTTAATAATTCTAATCTTCAACGCGATATTTTGGAGTTTAATTAATTCTGTTAAAAATAATAAAGAGAAAAATGAGTTAAGTAGAGTTGTGGAAACCTCAAAGGATCTAACTAAGATCTTTAACAATGAGGCAGAATCATCGGTTCAAAAATCTGAAGGGACGTTAAAACCAAATTCAAATAAAGGCACAAAAATAAATAAAGAAAATAAGCGAGACTATGACCAAATCTACTACCAAAATAATAAGGAAAAAATTCGAGAAAGAAAACGCATTTACCAGCAAAATAATAAGGAAAAGAGGCGAGAACGTAACAGAAGATACCGTCAAAATAAAGAAGTTTGCTGAATCCATACCCAGTGTAGAGCCCAGGATAATAGAATATGAGGGAATACTAATTGATTATTGTTGTTAGTAGTCCGGCCGGACAATATTCACCGCTCACTCCTTAAGAGCGATTAAACGGGCGACGACTAATTCCTCCGATCGGGCAATAAATATATTAATTCACTTTTATTATTAACTGACTAACAAGCTGACTGATTGAATGACTGATCGCTTCCTTCTCTTATTCCTAGGATTATATTGGTTATGGATAGGCGGGGTCGCTGGGAAAGTTTTATTTAATATTTCACAATTCTATTTCCGCCTTACACCTCCAACCCCGGGGAAGACCGTCCCTGGTCTTTACCTGACCATTCCACTCCTTGAATGTTCGTTCCATTGTCAATTCCATTCCCTGTTTTATTTTTATCTTTGACCGAGGTCACTTTTTATTTTTAATTTAAATTAAATCTCTACCTCTTCTGTTTTGTCCGCCTCGCATTTTCTTCAAACACGTCTGCACTCACGCGCCAAGTGTCCTTTGCCTCCACACTGATAACACCTCACAGCTATTGGTGGCCACCGTTGTTCGGTTCACCTTTCTTCTGCACGTTGTTCTGGTTGTTGCACGCCTTCCAATTTGAGTCTCAACCTGTCTG